GAGGAAGCAGGCTCCCTGCTAAGCAGAGAGCCCGATGCGGGGCTCGATCCCAGGACCCCGAGATCACGACCCGAGCCGAAGGCAGCGGCTTAACCCACTGAGCCACCCAGGCGCCCCTTAAATTAAGTTTTTAATTTTAATTCCAGTGTAGCTAACATACTCATGATAAGTGTTCTCTTTGATCCCCATCACCTATATAGTCCATGCCCCCACCCACCTTCCCTCTGATAACCATCAGTTTGTTCTCTATAGTTAAGAGTCTGTTTCTTGGTTTCTCTCTCTTTTATCTTTGCTTATTTGTTTTGTTTCTTAAATTCCTTATATGAGTGAAATCATGTGGTATTTGTTTTTCTCTGACTGACTTCACTTAGCATTATGCTCCCTAGATCCATCCATCTAGCTTCAAATGGCAGAATTTCATTCTTTTTCACGGCTGAATAATACTCTGTTATGTATATGTGTATACATATATGTATATACACCACATGTCCTTTATCCATTCATTATTTGATGGACACTTGGGCTGTTTCCATAATTTGGCTATTGTAAATAATGCTGCTATAAACATAGGGGTGCGTGTATCCCTTTGAATTAGTGTTTTTATATTTTTGGGGTAGATACCCAGCACTGCGGTTACTGGATCATAAAGTAGTTCTTTTTTTTTTTTAAGATTTTATTTATTTATTTGACAGAGAGAGATAGTGAGAGGGGGAACATAAGCAGGAGGAGTGGGAGAGGGAGAAGCAGACTCCCCACTGAGCAGGGAGCCCAATGTGGGGCTTGATCCAGGGACCCTAGGGTAATGACCTGAGCTGAAGGCAGACATTTAACCGAGCCACCCAGGTGCCCTAGATAGTTCTATTTTTAGCTTTTTGAGGAACCTCCATTCTACTTTCCACAGTGGCTGTGTCAGTTTGCATTCCCACCAACGGTGCACGAGGGTTCCTTTTTCTCCACATCCTCGCCAACACTTGCTGTTTCTAGTGTTTTTTATTTTATCCATTCTGACAGGTGTGAGGTGATACCTCATTGTGGTTTTGATTTGCATTTCCCTGATGATGAGTGATGTTAAGCATCTTTTCATGTGTCGAGTTATAGTGTCTTTATTTGTAAACAAGGATAACAATAATGAAGATTAAAGTCCCTCCTTGGAGGTGGGTCCAAGTGGTGCATGTCTGGGCCTACCACAATAAATATGTATATGGAGATCCTCGTTTATACTTTGTAGTAATATACAAACACACTGTTCTGTACCTTAGGTTTTTGTTTTTTTATTGTTATTTGTGTGGAGGTGTTGGAGGTTGCAGTGTGTGCTGGAGGTTTTTCCTTATTAGCACAGATAAGTCCAACAGATGGCTCATAAAACTGTGGAAATCTGTGGTTCTCCTCGTACCTCGTTGTATTTGCCACTCATCTCTTTCTCTGTGTGATCCACATTAAAAAACTTCAAAAGGATTATTGGCATTGGAGAAGCAAGCGAAAACCAGAACACTGTAAGAATGTATTTTGTCCTCTTATCACCAGTGGCTATACGAGGAGAGAATTTCTCAAAGGAAGATAGGTAGTGGCGAGGGGATATAGTCCAGGGCCCAAATGGAGAGAAAAAGAGGGTAAACTGAGAGTCAGCCCAGGATCAAGAAATAGCTCCTGGCTCTTTAAACCAGCAAGAGGCCTGCTATCCCACATATTCCCAGTCTTATGGTGGAGAATTTGTCTCCTCATGTGTGATGATCTGCCCTACAGGAGCTTTGAAACAGGTTTGTCTTATTTTCTGTCGTTTAGGTGGCATTCTGCTGAGTACCAGTCGGCACTACAAGACAAGGCCTACCCATGGCATTGGAAGATACAAGCATCTAGTGAAACCACAGGAGGTAAAGGGAGCAAGGGTCCTTTAGAAGAGGATAGTGTGCAGCTTTTGCAAAGACCTGCATAGGGTGGATAACATTGGAGGTAGATAATATTGGGGTCCCCCTTTAGTCCTCTCCAGTTATTTCATTTGGAAATTATCTGTATTGAACTGTTTTGTTTCTGCCAGCTCTCAATCTTGTCCCTACACAAGGTTATCGCAGTGAAAAGCCAATGATTTGGTTTTATTATTTGTGGTGCTTTAAAAAAACACCTTCTTAGTACTTATTTCAGCATGGACCTCACAATAAAGGATATATTCACTTAAGTTGAATGAATGGTTTGTGGCAAGTAGAGGCGGATTGGTATTTTCAGCCAAATAGTTTTACAGTATTTGCAGATTTAAAAGATGTTTATGTTCCTTGCATACATTATTAGTGATAACTGGGAGTTAGTTCTAAGCATGTTAAGATTATTTAGCCCATTTCTTAGGACTCGTAGAGCTGCAGGATTGCTTCTATGGTTAGATTTCTGGGCATGTGCAGAGGGTTTTGCAGTGAGGTGGACACACCACCAGCCTGAAAGTCAGAAAGTCTGGTTTTGAGTCAGATTCTGTCACTTCCTGTAAACAGTACGGTTAAGAAACATTTTGCTTTTCTACCTAGGGAGACGTCAACATCACCTTTTCCTCTTTGGTTTATTGTAATGTTCTACGTAACCATAATCGTTTCCCACCACCCCTTTCTCTCCTTGGCAGAGGTCAATACCACCTTATTTGGGTCTCAGAAGCCACTAAACTTGGGGTTCCTGAGTGGTTCAGTTGTTAAGTGTCTGCCTTTGGCTCAGGTCATGATCCCAGAGTCCTGAAATCGAGCCCCGAATCAGGCTCCCTGCTCAGGGGGAGGCCTGCTTCTCCCTCTCCCACTCCCCTTGCTTGTGTTCCCTCTCTCTCTCTCTCTCTCTCTCTCTTTTTTTTTTTTTAAAGATTCCATTTATTTATTTGACAGAGAGAGACACAGCTAGAGAGGGAGCACAAGCAGGGTGAGCAGGAGAGGGAGAAGCAGACTTCCCGTTGAGCAGCGAGCCTCATGTGGGCCCCCATCCCAGGACCCTGGGATCATGACCTGAGCCGAAGGCAGATGCTCAATGACTGAGCCACCCAGGTGCCCCTTGTGTTCCCTTTGTGCTGTGTCTCTCTCTGTCAAATAAATAAACAAAAATCTTAAAAAAAAAAAAAAAAAGTCACTAAGCTTGCCATGTTCTCCTGAGCATCCTCCTTATAGCAGGGAATTTCATGAGAGGATCATTGCCACATCTGAGGCTTATATTTAGGCAGCCTCCCAGCAGGAAATAGCCTAATTAAAATTGTTCATTTGTAGTTTGTAGTGGGAAGAGGACTGAACTGGGAACCAGGAAGCTTGTAGGCTTAGTTATGCCACTTATTACATCTTCATGGCTTTGGATAATTAACCTTAACCCTCTGGACATTGTGGGCCCTGAAATTATATGTAAAATTTTTTAAAAAATATTTTATTTATTTATTTGACAGAGAGAGAGATCACAAGTAGGAAGAGAGGCAGGCAGAGCGAGAGAAGGGAGGAAGCAGGCTCCCTCCTGAGCAGAGAGCCCACTGTGGGGCTCGATCCCAGGACCCTGAGATCATGACCTGAGCCGAAGGCAGAGGCTTAACCCACTGAGCCATCCAGGTGCCCTGTAAAGTGTTTTATATGTGTAATTTTTTTCTGGGAAGAGAGTCTGTAACTTTTATCAAAGTCTTAATAAAGGCTGAGAAACTGGATTAGAATATCTTTTTGTTTTGTTTTTTAAGATTTTATTTATTTGACAGAGAGAGAGAGCGAGAGCAGGAACATAAGCGGGGGAGTGGGAGAGGGAGAAGCAGACTTCCCACCAAGCAGGGAGCCCGATGCTGGGCTTATGACCTGAGCTGAAGGCAGATGCTTAACAACTGAGCCACCCAGGTGTCCCTGAATTAGAGTATCTTTAAGAGTCTTTCAGCTCTGATATCATGTAATTCTCTGATGCTCTGAAACATTTATCAAACGTCTATTATATGGTGGGCATTGTTGAGGGTGCCTTGTCTATTCAGAGTGGGTTGTAATAAAATTTTAGAGGATGAATGAACAAGATCTGGTTCACGCTCAGACAGCTGGTAAGTCATTAGAGGTAAGACACAGATAATTACACTCTTCAGCAGAAAGTGACAGGTGCTAAAAGGAAGATACAAAGTGCTATTAAAATTCAAAAGAAGGAGTGATTTATACCCTTTCTGAGTTGTGACACCTTAGAGTAGTTGTTGGAGATGTTCTATTTTGTGATATCCCTCTTCTAAATTTTTTTTTTAAGATTTTATTTATTTATTTGACAGACAGAGATTACAAGTAGGCAGAGAGGCAGGCAGAGAGAGAGGAGGAAGCAGGCTCCCTGCTGAGCAGAGAGCCCGATGTGGGGCTGGATCCCAGGACTCTGAGATCACGACCTGAGCTGAAGGCAGAGGTTTAACCCACTGAGCCACCCAGGCGCCCCGTGATATCCCTCTTCTAAAAGTCCCATATAAATTAGTAGGAAATAAACTTCATTTTGTTTGGGTGTGTGTTCTTTGTTTTTTTGTTAATTTCTTGGGATCCTCCATCTTTTATTTATTTTTATTTTATTTTTAAAGATTTATTTTATTTATTTGTCAGAGAGAGAGAGAGAGAACACACATACAGAGGGACAAGCAGGCTCCCCTCTGAGGAAGGAGCCCGACGCGAACTCGATCTCAGGACCCTGGGATCATGACCTGAGCCAAAGGCAGACGCTCAACTGACTAAGCCACCCAGGTGTCTAGGGATCCTCCATCTTAAAAGATAATTTTCTGCATATGGCATGCTCTGACCCACTCTGTAGTTTGGTATAAAAGGAAGCTTAATGCCATATTAATGCCATCTGTCCTTATATTTCTCCCTAGTTTCTTCTCCCATCTTAGGGATGGATGAGTTTTTCCCTAGTTTCTTCTCCCATCTAGGGAGTTAGAGCATAATGCTCTAACTGCATTGAGCCTCTTGGTTTTTATCCAAATCATCACACTGTTTCAAGGCCTCACAAGTTTCTCTATGAAACATATACTCTTTCAAGGCTGTTCTGTCTACTTGGAATATCTTCTCCCTCTTTTCACTTGGCTAATGCATCCTCAACCTTTAACTTGTAGTGAGGAAGCAGGATGAGGAGGGGGAAAATGAACCTCCCCTTCTGAGAAAACTTCCTGGATTCCCAGCACTGGATTACTTGTCCTACTATAGCTCCTAGAGTTCCTTGTGCTTGCTCTGTATATGACTTACTGCTCTGTTTGAATGGTCTGTTTGATGACCATTTCCCCTTCTAGCTCTTTCTCCTCAATTTGCAGCAGAGGGCCTGGCATCAAGTCGAGGACAGTAAATATTGATCGAGCTGAACTGATATGTGCTTACTAGAGCTGCCCCAAGGTTTTATAAATCAGAGCTGGCAAACACAACCCACTCTTTGCAAACAGCTGGCTCCAGATGACCTTGGTTGCTTGAAGGGAGGGATACTCTCTTTGGTTGGGATTGTAGGCTTTTCTCTGATGTCATTTGTTGTCCCTGGGTGGCTAGCCAGATAGTAGTGAAAGCTGCTGCAGGCTCCTTGCTTCCTGCATGGTACAGTACATGAAAGTTCTCATCTGCCAGCTTGCAGAGGCTCTCTCCAGGTCCCTGTTTCTTCTCCCCTGTTGGGGAACTGGACTAGAAAGGCTAGAAGGCCCCCTTTCTCTCCCTAAGCATAGATCCTAGAAAAAAAAATAAGCTCCCAGATTCCATTTTTTTTCTCTCTTTCTTTCATCCCTAAGACAAGAGTTAATTCTCATGCATCAAGTGCCCAGACCTTGTCCCATTTCTGCTGGTGTAATCTTACATGCTGTTATGACCCAGCTTGACTGTGGCAGTGAGGGATCATGCTTCAGAGCTCATCTCTAGACCTAGCACTGTGTCTCAATGTATAGACCTCATTATTTCCTCAAGGGCCCTGAATCATTCTGTTGAATTTATTTATTTATTTTAAATCTTTTTTTAAAAGATTTTATTTACTTATTTCACAGAGAGATAGAGAGCACAAGTGGCAGGCAGAGGGAGAGGGAGAAGCAGGCTCCCTGCTGAGCAGGGATTCCCGAGGAGGGCCTCAATCCCTGGACCCTGGCGATCATGACCTGAGCCACTTAACCAACTGAGCCACCCAGGCACCCCACTCTGTTGACTTTAAAAGGCTTCAGATTGTTTGGAGTGATTTTTATTTCATAGAAATAAATGTGTAGTCCTTCATTTTTGTAGAGTGCCAGGTTATTTCTCCCAAGACCACTTACTTGCCCTCAGCTGTTCTGCCTTCAGTCTTGGGGTAATTACAATCCAAGAAGCAAAATTTCCAAGAGGAGGATGTGGGAGGATGGAATGGACACAACATAAATAGCTGTCAGCTTATAATAATTGTCCTGTGTTCAATTTTCTAGGACCCAGGGGCAAGAAAGTAATATGTATCTTTTGTAACGTAGGCCTCTTTATAGAATGGCTCCCTAAGAGACGAGATGTCTTTTCTCTTGGAAACAGTTTGCACTGTTGACATAGAGGAGGTGTCTGTCATTTATGACACCTATTTAGTTTATTGTAACACCCATAGATGAGCTCCCACAGCCACAAGTCTGTGAGGAGACTGTGGCATCGTTCCCAGAAAAATCAGCAGATCAGAATCACTTTATGGTGACAGCCCAGCTTCCTGGGAACAGAAAGATGGGTCTTTGCCAGTGCAGTAACTATAGGGCTAGACATGGGTTATAGGACTGATTTAGGGAAGAGTTGTTTTAAATTAGCATCCACGTTTTTCCTCAAGTCTACCTGCTGTAACTCATTGAAAAGAAGAGCCATTATTGAGCATCTACGATATGCCAGGCACTGTGTGAGCACAGATGATGCTCGGGTGAATGGGACACAGTCTTTTCCTACCAAACGTATACAGCAGGCTA